TACTTCTTTGCAAGAGCAAACAATGACAGCTCAGTATCAAAAATATAAAGCACACAGCCCAGGTCAACCACTACAGATGGAATCCAATAGACCTTGGCCTTTACACTGCTAAGAATTAACAATAAACAAAAAAAATAAATTATCAAATGATTTAGTGGATTTATAGAAATGATAGCAAAAACTATATTAATGATATAATCTAAAAGGATGGTCTCTGATTTCACTAACACATTTGAGTTGTCCTTTACCATATGACCCAGTACAATACATACTAAGCATGTTTTTAATGAAATTTCATTTTCATTGTATTACAGTTAGGTTGGATTTTTCAAGCCATGGAATGAGTGTATGGGGCATTTCTGGAGGTGTGTGTTTAGACAACAAATGAGTTGGAGAATGGAAGCAATAAAAACATAGATTTATATTTTTATAGGCTGATGCTTGCCAAGAGAAAAAGAGACAAAAATGCTATGGGGAGGGGGAAAGCAAAAATGACAAAGACAGAAAAAGACTCATGGTGGAAGGGGATTGTTCAAGAAATGTCCTTCATAACAAGGGATTGCAAAAGAAAAGTGAATCTCCATATGTGATTTCTTTTTAGATTATGGTGTAAGTTAGCTGTATAAGCCTTCATCTTTGTGTAGATATTTCTCCCCACCTCACTCTGGGTAATTAGTGAAGGTAATTATACTTATTTTTCTCCTTGACCCTGGTACAGCAAGTGCAAATTAATTTTGACTTGAAGATAGCATGTTAGCTTTGCAGGTAATTTGGTTTAAGATTTTTATTAGTTCTAAACTAGTAGTATTCAACTCCGTTATTGTTGTTGTGTACCATACAGTTGGAACCGACCCATAGCTGGCCTTCCAGCAGGTTTTCAGAGGCAATTAATCACACAGGAGGTTTCCCAACCTTCTCCTGCAGAGCATCTGGTGGCCTTGAACTGTGTTCCTTTGGGATTGCAGTGTAGCTTCTTGTCACGAGGCCACCAGAGCAGAACTCCCTAGTATTATTAATAATAAAACAATTAAACTCATTGCCATTATGTCAGATTGACTCACAGCTGACTCTCCAGGGGGTTTCTGAGGCTTTAAGTGGTACAGAGGAGATGACCCATCTTCCTGTCATGGAATCCACTAGAGAGGTGCTGCCCTCAGCTTGGCAGCCCAGCTCCCTGCATAGTATGCCACCAGAGCTCCCTAATAAATGCAAATTCTAAAATACCTTGCATTCATTTTAAAATGTGCAATAAAAGTTTGGAATTTAAGCATCACAAAGGAAATCCTAATATAACATGATCCTCATTATGAAATATGATAGAAGAACTCATAAAATTCCAGAAATATTTCATCTAGTCTGGCTACAGGAAAATCACATACTGACTCTCTGGAATTCTCTAAAGCTTCAATTGTTGAGGTAGCTACTGGTTTGAATGTGATCAGGTTAATCCTGAGAACAGCAGGACTAAGAGCTGGCAGGTTCTGGTTTATGAAGACCAGGGTTCAAATTTTCGCTTTGCTGCTTACCTTTGAGACCTAGACCAACTGACTGGACTTTTCTGAACCTTGTTTTTCTCACTAATAGTGAGTACTGCTACCAGTAGAGAGCATATGTGTGGAGTACCTAGAGCATAGAATTATTAGTGAGCATTTTCCACTATGGATAAATTATGGACAGCCTCCTTCCATGTCTGGGAAACCTACTGAAGGGTCGGCTATGAACTGGTTTTGACTTGAGAGCAGTGAGTGAATGAGTTCTCTTAAAATCAGAGAGGTCAGGGGAGCTCTGGTGGCCTAGTGGCAAGAAGCTGCACTGCAATCCCAGAGGCCCATGGTTCGAATCCCCCAGATGCTCTGCTGAGAAAGGAGGGACAATCTCCTCCTGTACCAGTCAGATCTGATTTGACGGTACACTCACACAAAAATAATAATAAAATAAAAAAAAATCAGAGAAGTCCAGAATAGCATTTCCTTCAGGTTATGTGGCTACAACTACTCTATATGGCATCAAACTGTACCCTGTTCATAGGACATCAAAGTAAGTAAATGTACCCATGCTAACTAGCCATGTATAAGACTGACTCTGTAAGATGGGCTCTCTTGTTTTGGTTGAGGGTCATTGTGGAATGGTTTTTGCTTGTTTGTTTGTTTTTCTTCTTTTTTTATTATTGTTAAAGCCTCTTGTGTAAAGTCAACAAAACCTCCTGGAGGGCCCTTATATTTAATAAATTGGGTCTGAGGGATTATCTTTTAATCCTTTGCTACTGTATTTTGGAGGAACATTCTTCTAATTCATACAGGACTCTTCTGTCAATTTGCTGTGCTGAGGTAATCAGGGTTTGCTGTGATGTTGAACCTTGTACCATTGGGGTCTCAAATGCCATAACGACTGCCCATGGTGGACAGTGTTTGGTCAAGCTCCCAGTTTTAAGACAGGTGGGGAAGCAGGAGTGGCATCCACTTCCTAAACCACATGCCTCTGGAAATTCTATGAACTCGGAGAAACAATAGTTATAGAAAGGCCTCAAGTCTTTTTTTCATGGAGTCAATATGAGTCATGCATGACTTGATGGCAATCATCATCATCAACAACAACAATAACAATCTAAATACAGGACATTCTGATGGCTTAGTGGTAAAGAATTGTGCTCTCAAAGCAAAGGTAGGCCATTTGAATCCAGCTCCTTTGCAGGAAAAAGATGGGCAATTTCCTCCTGTGCAGTTTACTAACTCTGAAAACTTGCTGGAGGGTCAGCTATGGATTGATTCTGACTAGAGTGTATACAAACAACAACAACAATCTAAACAGTGCCACATTTCAGAGTCAGTTAAGGGTAAGGTTTTGCTGTACTTCACCAATAAATAAATTTATTTCTGGTTCAGGTTGCTTGATTCTTCAACGCCAGTGACTTATGATTCTCTGAGAGGGGACTCTTTTAATCTCCCTTCCCCCCCCCCTTTTTTTTTGTCCTTAAAGAAACAAAAACAAAAGCAAAAATTCCCCAAAGGCAAGGAATGATGCCACTTCCTGTAATCCACAATCCTAGTATCTGGCTTTATTACTACAAATAAATTAGAAATCTCTACCAGAAAGGAAACATACAGACACTACAATTATTATCCTAGGAAAGATTAGCAGTTCCTAGACCACACTTTGAAAATGCTGCATCTAATTAATTACACGTCAAAAGCAAATGTAAAACTATCATCCTAAGGTTCTCCTGTAAATCCATCACAGCACTAGGACAAGTTTGTGTGGTGTGTAAAATCCGGTAGTGATTTGCAGGAAGTAGGTGATAATTCTCTACTATCCATTTATCGTACTGTGTGGCTTGTGGCTGGAAGCTCTGTCATCAACATTTCAGGTATTACCAGGGTCACCCAGGGTGGACAGGTTTCAGTGGTGCGTGCGGACTAAAACAGACTAAGAGACAGGACTGACCATCCTCTCCTGGGATCATGGGCGCTTGATAACCCCATGAATAGCAGCAGAACGTGGTCAGATTTAGTGTCAAAAGATGAGCCCTTCAGGTTGGGACAGGTGCTTCTGGGAGGCAGAAGGGCTGTCTCCTTGAACTTGTCTACCTTGACAGGATGCAATAAAGCTCTCACCCAAGGAAGGACCTCCAACGCAGAGTGCACTCACCTGCCCTACTTGGTAGATGGTTTCCCTTGACATGACCATGACCTCTCATGTGCACATCGTGTTTTGAGTGTAACTGGAATGTTATTAATTGTTATCGTCTAACAGTAAGAATCTGAGCCACAATCCCAAAGACATGCGATTCGAGGTCACCAGCTGCTCCTTGGGAGAAGGCTGGGAAATCTCCTTCCATGTGATTAACTATCTCTGAAAACCCACCAGAGGGTCAGCTATGGGTGGGTCCCAACTCAGTGGTGCACAACAACAACAACAACAACAACAACAACAGCAGATGTTAAGTTTACACAGCAAGTTAAATTCCCCTTTAACAATTTTTATACAGATTGTTCCATGCCTTTGGTTACAACTTTTATAATGTGTCATTATTATTCTCATTAGTTACATTCTGTTTTCATTTCTCTAACTTTCTTTATACTCCTTGCCTCCACATCTCTGCTTTTGGGTAAATGTTAACCATTTGTTCTCACACAGTTCATTCTTTAAGTGAGCACATGACTCATGGATAGTGCTGCTGTTTGGCTGAAAGGTGCCAAAATAGCTTCAATTCTATGTTCAGAGGCTATGTTGGCTTGGGCAGTTCCTTTAGTCTCTGTCTAACCTCTTTTAGAAATTTGAGTCTTGTTCTACACTTGTCTTCTGTCTTTGTTGTGTCGGTGGCTAGAATGATTGGTAATAGCCAGGCACCATCTAGCTCCTCTGGTCTCTGGTCAGGAGAGGCTAGGCTATTTCTCCCATGGGTGACTTTCTTCTTTGAACCTTTGATTTCTTTCATTCTTTTTAGCTCCATATGATCAGACACCAATAGTTGTCATCCTAGATGGCCAGCCAGTCACTCATAGCTTCTAACTGGAGGCTGCTCACCACATCAGGGTATAGAAATTTATCTTTGTGAACTATGTTGTTTCAGTTGACTTAGTTGTCCTCAAAGACTGCTATAATTTTTACTTTAATTGGAGTAAATCAGGTTAACAAAAATGGCATTTGCCCTATAGCACTCATTTGTACTTGATTTAATATAATTAGATTCCACAAAATTTCAGATATAAGACATTTCTTAGAGCTGTGGTTTGAGACACTAAATACGAATAGAACCTAAAAGATGGCCTCTCTTGAGCATCCTTCTACGCGCTCTTTTCTTTTCCCTTCTCAGTCACCAGCCCTAGGGGAGTCTGGACCCCAGAAATACCTGGAACAAATTCATTGCCATTGGAGGAAAATTTCTGGTGGAAGTGACCCCTGAAATTCCAAGGCATGGAGGAGTGCAAGGAGAGTTTTAAGACTCAAAAGTACACTTTTCATGATCCCTGAGAAAGAAAAGTAGCAAATTTAGTACAAACCTTTTCTCTTGCAGTCCAGTGTTTGTATGGGAAACACATAATTGTGGCAGAGAGTGGAGTCCACCTCAGGCTTGATGACCGGGGGTCTCCCTGACACTTGGGGTCTCGGGTCCAGCTGTTCCTTTTCTTCTTCATGACACAGCTGCTCAGGCTGTATCTGCCGCAATTTTTTGTTTCTGAGTTCATGCGGGCTTTGGCATTTGGCATAGCTGCCCAGGTTGCGGTTCCTTGGCACCTGCAGCATGAAAATGAGCGTTTCCATCTCGCACGAACAATGCCAGGGGTTGTCATACAGCCGCAGGTAGCTCAGGGCGGGCGTGTAAATGAACGCCTCCTCCGTCAGAACCTTGATCTGGTTGTGCTGCAGCAGGAGCGTGGTGAGTTTCTTCAGCCCAAAGAAGGCCCCGCTCTCAATTTTGGAGATCTCGTTCTGCTGCAGATCCAGGCTCTTTAGCCTTTGAAACTTGGCAAACATGTTGTTCTTCAACACGCGGATCTTGTTCCTGGCCAGCAGCATGTGCAGCAAATCCTGGGGCCAGCCGGGCAGCACATACACTAGTTTTCTCTCTTGGCAATCTAAGTATTTCTCGTGCAGGTACGTGTACACCTCGCAGGGGAGGCCGGGCGCATAGCGTTTGACCGGGGAGGAGCCGCGCCGGCCCCCGCCTGCGCCCCGGCCTTGGCCAGCGCTGCGAGCACCCCCAGCCCCAGGGCTCGCCCTGCGCAGCTCGGCAGCTTTGCAGAAGAAAAGCAGGATCACTATGGTTACCACGCGCATCCTGACATCCAGCTGGCCCCAATTACTGGCTGTGACAGATGGAGCCAAACAAGAATTTCGGATCCAAGTTGAGTAATGTTAACTAATGCAGTTCAGGACCAGGGAGACCCCAGCTGAGGGACGCAGAGTTCCTGGGTTGGAAGAGAAAATGAATATTATAAGTTGTAAGGACCAACAGAAGCAGTGTTAACTTTTGAGATGGGGACACTCCAGATGACAAGATTTGTAAAGTGAGGGAGGCTGTTCATTCTCTTACCTCCCTCCTGTGCCGGCCCTGACTTTGAATCAAGTCTCTCTGCTGACTGTGCAATCCCAGGCTAGCCATTCAGCCTCATCTTCAGCATCTTTAAAATGGGGGTAAGGAGGCCTAACTGTGCTGGAAGGAAGACCCTTAGCCAGGTGGATTGGCACAGCGACTGCTTCAATGGGCTCTAGTGTGTTAGAGATTGTGAGGAGGCACAGGGTAAGACGGAACTCAGATATGTTGTTCATGGGATCACTGTGAATTGTGCCCAACTCGAGGGCACCTAACAACCCCAATTAGAAAGCAGCCTCCAGAAGGGGAGAAGTTCCCTTTTGTTTATGGCTGCATTTTCAGGCTCTGTAGGGTCTCTGGCACATAGTAGGTTCTCTATAGATATTTGCTGAATTTATAAATGCATCAGTCATTCTTCAGTAGCTCATCTCTAAGAACATTTAGCTCACAAACCTACACTGTTTGGAGAAATATCTCCTCCCCCCACGACTGAAGACATCTAAGACCAACACATTCTTACATTCTTAAGAACTGCATTTGTTGTTTTCATTCTCAAAGTATTTCTGGTTTGCGTTTATTACTTAGGACAGAGTCCACTCTTGGCAGAGGAAGAAATGCTCACTATGGATTTATAATGAATAACATTTCTGTTGTTATTTGTGTGGGGCTGTGTAGTTATAAGGAGCAGATGTTTTCTCTATTCCATGTAACAGTCTGGAAGCTGGGGTCACACCTTGGCCAGACTGCCTTAAAGTTTCCTCTTCTTAGAATGTTACCCTTCCCCATCTTGACCTCGAGAAGCCCTGCTATTTATCATCTTTAGCACCCCCCCCCAAATAGCCTTCCTTCTGTCTTGCAAGCACTTGGAGTTGTATTTATTTCTGTTCATGCCAAGGGCATACATTGTTAAACACTTCATTGTTTGTATATGTGTCTCATTAGCCCTGCAGGACCATAAACTGTGCTTTGGGTTTTGAGGCTGGAGACCAAGTTGAGCCCATGCACTGATTTGTCACTGGTCCTCGAGTGTCAGATGCTTTGCCTTTCTACCCTACAATTCTCTATCTGCATGCCTTTATATATAACTGGAATAAAATTCTGACCTAAAAGGTCATGAACAAATACTGAACTTTATGCATGATGTGCCTGGTGAAGTATTTAGGAAATGTGTGTGTTGGTTTCTGCAACTGGCTTTGAAATTCTTAAAAATATAAACTGGATTTACAGAGATGTATTGGTGGATATGTGATCAAATAAATAGAGGAAAATATAAATTGTAGATCCTCGATAATTTGTGCCAGGGTGTACACTGTACAATTTCCCCCCACTTTTTGTAGTTTTAAAGTTTATTTATAATAAAACTATTGAAGGGGGGAAGTGAACAAAGAAGGCATACAAAAAAGCAGAATGGTTTTCTTCAAGTTCTTCCAAGCTCAAAGCACTCAGTATATACTGTTTTTCTAAAAGTAGTATTTTTCTTATTTCCCCTTCCTCTTGTAATCATCAAACAATAATAAATGTTATGATATAAATGTGTATATATTTTAATATTTAGGCCAAAAGAAACCCCTTTTCTGGGAAAAGAAACCATACTTGCCAAGGTTTTTGTTTGTTTTCTAATGAATATATTCACATTGAATATAGGCTGGAAAAACCTTAACTTTAAACATTCGTAATATGTTGTTTAATGATATATAACTTGTTTGATTTAGGCCAATGTGAAAACTTGCAAGAATTGAATGTCTCTCAGTGCTCCACACTCATGGTGAGTCTATGCAACTTGTTTTACTGTTATTTATGTGAATTCTGACTTGCTAGAGTGAAATGCTCATATACAGAGGCTTTATCAAAATGCAAACTATGTTAAACATTGGCAGGGAATTCTAGCCCATCTGTATACTGTTATTTTTAATCTTGCAGCTATATGTCCAATGTTGGAGCCTCTAGAAGTGGGAACTATTCATTGATTATACAAAAATGGGCTGTATTTATATTTAAGGCCATGTGTATAAGAGGGAGAGAGAGTTGAGCTCTAGTAGACGCGTAATAGGCTTATTTTAAGGGTCTTCATGGCTATTATACCCAGAGAAAAAGGGAATAAATGTATAAATGTATAAACCTAGCCATTTTCTTCCTGGCCTGTAGTATTTTCCTGTATCTCTAGTCTGTCTTCTACCCTGTGAGCACATGATACTCTTTGTAGGGCAGAGCTTATTACTTCACTTGCATTTTCCATCATCTGAATACATTCACATCACCTATGGTGTTGTTGTTGTTGTTATGTGCCGTCAAGTCGCTTGCATCTCATAGCCACCCTATGTACAACAGCCTTAAACCCTGCTCTATCTCTTGCCAATCTTATTGTCTCTGACACACCTATCCCCATTACCCCCGTGGTGGAATCAACCCATCTCGTTGAGGGTCCTCCTCTACTGCACTGTCCCTCCACTTTTCCAAACATGATGTCCCTCTCCAAGGACTAGGCCCGCCTTACAACGTGTCCAAAGTATGTCAGATGAAGCTTCAGAATCCTTGCCTCCAAGGAGCAGCCTGTCTGCACTATCTCCAGGACTTTCAGCATTGGATAAAGTAAAATCTTTTCAGCCTTACTATACCTTGGAGATCCTCTGTGATCTATTTCTGCCTCCCTTCCCCTTCTCATTTCATGTCAATTCCTACTTAACACACTTGTTTTAAGCAACTACAAGCTGCTGCATTTTCTTTGCTGCAAACATCAAGTTGCTCCTTGTAGTCTTAAGTTTGCCCATCCTGTACTTCTTCCCTGGAATGCTCTTTCTCTTCTTCCTCAATGGAATAGCTTTGTCTTTTAAAAAGACCCTACAATTTATTGGTTTCCATAAAATAATTTGTTTACATGGGAATAACATTGCAATGCTCCAAAGCTTACTTTAGACATCATCTTTAGCAAGCTCCAAGGGCTGGTTTTTGCTGCCCCTCTGGGTTCCTTGGAGTTCCTCTGGGATCCTGTAATAAGTGGCCCAAACTATAAGGTTTTGCCTCTCTTACTAGTCTAAGGGGCTCACAGACTAGCAATTGTGTCAGATTCTTTTTGGTAATCATGGTTAGCATCTAACACAAAGCTAGGTATATAGTAAATGCTCGGTAATATTTTGTCCAAAGAATAAAGCTAAATAGAGAAGCCTAGTAGGTGATAGACAACAATGGTAGAGCTTGAGATTCCACTTTCATCCTATATCCATGTCTAACTTATAATCAGCATCACAAGAATGATGAATATGAACTGAAAAGGAAGAGAGATATTGAGAAAGTATGAGAAGAGAATTTAAGATTGAACCTTGGAAAACATTAACTTTTAGAAGTGATATTAAAAAAAAGGAACAGTAAAATAGTAGTTTGAGAACTGAGAAGCAACACAGAAGCCAAGGGGATGAGTTTTGGAGTTAGTCAAAGAGTTGTTGTTGTGTGCTGTCGATTCGGAACCGACCCATTGCTGACCCTCCAGGGGGTTTTCAGAGGCAGTTATCACAAAGGAGGAGACTGCCCATCCTTTCCCCGAGAAGTAGTGGGGGAATTTGAATCATATGTGTTGGGGATTGCAGAGCAGCTTCTCACCACTAGGCTACCAGAACTCCCTAGGCAAAGAGAAGAGGGAGGGTAAGACCAGAACTTAGCAGTGTCTCCTGCATTTGAGAAATAGGAGGTGACTTTCACTTCAGTAGTTGTAGTGGAATTTGGAGGTAGAAATCTGATTGTTTTGAGTTGAAGAATAGAGGCAAGTGAGAAATTGAAGCAGTCGGGTAAATTGGTATTCCCAGAAAGGTGGCTGAGAGAGTGGCATAAGGAATACTAGGAAATAGGATCAGGTTAGAGGTTCTTGGATGAAGAGCTAAGTGTTGAAGCAAGTCTCTGAGTGGATGGGAGGGAACAGTGAAGAGCTGAAAAATGCCATGCCCCACATTAAACACCAACTGCAGGATGACGTTCACGCTCAGGTGAAAAGACTCTTTATGAATTGGCCCCTTCCTAGTAGGTCTCTAGCTTCACCTTTATAATTAGGTTTTTCAGATTTCTATTTCTTTAAACACTGAAGCACTTGAAGTTCCCTGCATGTCAGATTGTTTAGTTGTATCATTGAATCTATTTTCCTGTTTTTTTTTCCCATGAACTAACTAACACCCTTGTCTCACCAGGCTCCTCCATCTCTCCCTAACTCTTACAGTCCAGGTGGTATAGAGGCTAAGGGGTTGGATGCTGACTCTCAGGTGGCTTCAACCCACCAGTCATTTGGAGAAAAGATGCGGTGATCTGCTTCTAAAGATCACATGTAATTGAGGACCTACGGGACACTTGTCCTTTGTCCTGTAGGGTTTCCATGAGCTGGAATTGACTTGCGGGCACACAGCAGCAACATTGAAATATAATTCATGCAAAATAATTAGCCTACTTAAAAATGCGTAGCTTGTGTTTTTATTGTAGTCACAGAGTTGTGCAACCATCACCACACTCAATTTAAAAACATTTTCACCACCCCAAAAGGAAACTCTGTGCCTACTAGCAGGGATTCCTATTAGTTTAGGGGGCTCAAAGGGTAGTAACACTTCTTTTTAGTGGTCAAAGAATCCATGCCTGTCCCCACCCCCCAATCCTTCCACCCAATGGAATTATGAATGAATTTCTCTTTTCTCCCAGAATTCATTTCTCCTTTCTTTGAGTACCATCTGTGGTCTCAAAACTTCAACATTTAGACTTTCCATTCTCTATTCTAACTATGTTTACATCTACAGCACCCCTTCCAGCTGGAGAGCTCTTTGAAAAGCCTTCTTATTATTCTCCAATGAGATTTCAAAAGCTAAAAGACATTATATAGGTGATAATAAAAGTACATTTTATTTGTATAACTTAAAAAGAATTTTTCTTACTGGATGAAATATGTTTACGGCATTGAAGTCTACGGGGGAGAGAATAGTATAAAAGTATTATAGGGCATTATTTTTATCGTAGGAGTA